TGCTACTCTTCCAGCTCTGGGTAACAGCCTTGCAGCAATCACACCCCACTAGGAAAGATGTATGAGCATATCAGCATTGGTGGTTCAGTGGTAGAATTCTTGCCTGCCACGCGGGAGACCCGGGTCCGATTCCCGGCCAATGCAAATCCTGTTTTGTGTTGCTACTCTTCCAGCTCTGGGTAACAGCCTTGCAGCAATTACACCCCACTAGGACAGTAGTATGAGCATATCAGCATTGGTGGTTCAGTGGTAGAATTCTCGCCTGCCATGCGGGAGACCTGGGTCCGATTTCCGGCCAATGCAATTTCTGTTTTGTGTTGCTACTCTTCCAGCTCTGGGTAACAGCCTTGCAGCAATCACACCCCACTAGGACAGCAACATGCACAAATCAGCATTGGTGGTTCAGTGGTAGAATTCTCACCTCCCATTCGGGAGACCTGGGTCCGATTTCCGCCCAATGCAATTTCTATTTTGTGTTGCTACTCTTCCAGCTCTGGGTAACAGCCTTGCAGCAATCACACCCCACTAGGACAGCAACATGCACACTTCAGCATTGGTGGTTCAGTGGTAGAATTCTCGCCTCCCACGCGGGAGACCCGGGTCCGATTCCTGCCCAATGCAATTCCTGTTATGAGTAGCTACTCTTCCAGCTCTGGGTAACAGCCTTGCAGCAATCACACCCCACTAGGACAAGTCTATGAGCATATCAGCATTGGTGGTTTAGTGGTAGAATTCTCGCCTGCCTCGCAGGACACCCAGGTGCGATTCCCGGCCAATGCAAATCCTGTTTTGTGTTGCTACTCTTCCAGCTCTGGGTAACAGCCTTGCAGCAATCACAACCCACTAGGACAGTATTATGAGCATATCAGCGTTGGTGGTTCAGTGGTAAAATTTCCATTTGTGATGCGGGAGATCCGTGTCCGTTTTCCGGCCAATGCAATTCCTGTTTTGTGTTGCTATTCTTCCAGCTCTGGGTAACAGCCTTGCAGCAGTCACACCCCACTAGGGCAGCAAAATAAGCATATCAGCATTGGTGGTTCAGTGGTAGAATGCTCCCCTGCCAAGTGGGAGACCCGGGTCCGATTCACGGCCAATGCAAATCCTGTTTTGTGTTGCTACTCTTCCAGCTCTGGGTAACAGCCTTGCAGCAATCACACCCCACTAGGACAGCAACATGCACAAATCAGCATTGGTGGTTCAGTGGTAGAATTCTCACCTCCCATGCTCGAGACCTGGGTCCGATTTCCGCCCAATGCAATTTCTATTTTGTGTTGCTACTCTTCCAGCTCTGGGTAACAGCCTTGCAGCAATCACACCCCACTAGGACAGCAACATGCACACATCAGCATTGGTGGTTCAGTGGTAGAATTCTCGCCTCCCACGCGGGAGACCCGGGTCCGATTCCTGCCCAATGCAATTCCTGTTATGAGTAGCTACTCTTCCAGCTCTGGGTAACAGCCTTGCAGCAATCACACCCCACTAGGACAAGTCTATGAGCATATCAGCATTGGTGGTTTAGTGGTAGAATTCTCGCCTGCCTCGCAGGACACCCAGGTGCGATTCCCGGCCAATGCAAATCCTGTTTTGTGTTGCTACTCTTCCAGCTCTGGGTAACAGCCTTGCAGCAATCACAACCCACTAGGACAGTATTATGAGCATATCAGCGTTGGTGGTTCAGTGGTAAAATTTCCATTTGTGATGCGGGAGATCCGTGTCCGTTTTCCGGCCAATGCAATTCCTGTTTTGTGTTGCTATTCTTCCAGCTCTGGGTAACAGCCTTGCAGCAGTCACACCCCACTAGGGCAGCAAAATAAGCATATCAGCATTGGTGGTTCAGTGGTAGAATGCTCCCCTGCCAAGTGGGAGACCCGGGTCCGATTCACGGCCAATGCAAATCCTGTTTTGTGTTGCTACTCTTCCAGCTCTGGGTAACAGCCTTGCAGCAATTACACCCCACTAGGACAGTAGTATGAGCATATCAGCATTGGTGGTTCAGTGGTAGAATTCTCGCCTCCCGCGCGGGAGACCTGGGTCCGATTCCCGGCCAATGCAATTTCTCTTTTGTGTTGCTACTCTTCCAGCTCTGGGTAACAGCCTTGCAGCAATCACACCCCACTAGGACAGATGTATGAGCAAATCAGCATTGGTGGTTCAGTGGTAGAATTCTCGCCTGCCACGCGTCAGACCAGGGTCCGATTCCCAGCCAATGCAAATCCTGTTTTGTGTTGCTACTCTTCCAGCTCTGGGTAACAGCCTTGCAGCAATCACACCCCACTAGGACAGATGTATGAGCATATCAGCATTGGTGGTACAGTGGTAGAATTCTCGCCTGCCACGCGGGAGACCCGGGTCCGATTTCCGGCCAATGCAAATACTGTTTTGTGTTGCTACTCTTCCAGCTCTGGGTAACAGCCTTGCAGCAATTACACCCCACTAGGACAGTAGTATGAGCATATCAGCATTGGTGGTTAGTGTTAGAATTCTCGCCTCCCACGCGGGATACCTGGTTCCGATTCCCGGCCAATGCAATTTCTCTTTTGTGTTGCTACTCTTCCAGCTCTGGGTAACAGCCTTGCAGCAATCACACCCCACTAGGACAGATTTATGAACATATCAGCATTGGTGGTTCAGTGGTAGAATTCTCGCCTGCCACACGGGAGACCCGGGTCCGATTCCCAGACAATGCAAATCCTGTTTTGTGTTGCTACTCTTCCAGCTCTGGGTAACAGCCTTGCAGCAATTACACCCTACTAGGACAGTAGCATGAGCATATCAGCATTGGTGGTTCAGTGGTAGAATTCTTGCCTCCCATGTGGGAGACCTAGGTCCGATTCCCGGCCAATGCAATTTCTCTTTTGTGTTGCTACTCTTCCAGCTCTGGGTAACAGCCTTGCAGCAATAACAACCCAATAGGAAAGCAGTATGAGCCTATCAGCATTGGTGGGTCAGTGGTAAAATTCCCATTTGTGATGCGGGAGATCTGTGTCCGTTTTCCGGCCAATTCTATTCCTGTTTTGTGTTGCTACTCTTCCAGCTCTGGGTAACAGCCTTGCAGCAATCACACCACACTAGGACAGCAACATGCACAAATCAGCATTGGTGGTTCAGTGGTAGAATTCTCACCTCCCATGCTCGAGACCTGGGTCCGATTTCCGCCCAATGCAATTTCTATTTTGTGTTGCAACTCTTCCAGCTCTGGGTAACAGCCTTGCAGCAATCACACCCCACTAGGACAGCAACATGCACACATCAGCATTGGTGGTTCAGTGGTAGAATTCTCGCCTCCCACGCGGGAGACCCGGGTCCAATTCCAGCCCAATGCAATTCCTGTTATGAGTAGCTACACTTCCAGCTCTGGGTAACAGCCTTGCAGCAATCACACCCCACTAGGACAAGTCTATGAGCATATCAGCATTGGTGGTTTAGTAGTAGAATTCTCACTTGCCACGCAGGACACCCAGGTGCGATTCCCGGCCAATGCAAATCCTGTTTTGTGTTGCTACTCTTCCAGCTCTGGGTAACAGCCTTGCAGCAATCACAACCCACTAGGACAGTATTATGAGCACATCAGCGTTGGTGGTTCAGTGGTAAAATTTCCATTTGTGATGCGGGAGATCCGTGTCCGTTTTCCGGACAATGCAATTCCTGTTTTGTGTTGCTAATCTTCCAGCTCTGGGTAACAGCCTTGCAGCAGTCACACCCCACTAGGGCAGCAAAATAAGCATATCAGCATTGGTGGTTCAGTGGTAGAATGCTCCCCTGCCAAGTGGGAGACCCGGGTCCGATTCACGGCCAATGCAAATCCTGTTTTGTGTTGCTACTCTTCCAGCTCTGGGTAACAGCCTTGCAGCAATTACACCCCACTAGGACAGTAGTATGAGCATATCAGCATTGGTGGTTCAGTGGTAGAATTCTCGCCTCCCGCGCGGGAGACCTGGGTCCGATTCCCGGCCAATGCAATTTCTCTTTTGTGTTGCTACTCTTCCAGCTCTGGGTAACAGCCTTGCAGCAATCACACCCCACTAGGACAGATGTATGAGCAAATCAGCATTGGTGGTTCAGTGGTAGAATTCTCGCCTGCCACGCGTCAGACCAGGGTCCGATTCCCAGCCAATGCAAATCCTGTTTTGTGTTGCTACTCTTCCAGCTCTGGGTAACAGCCTTGCAGCAATCACACCCCACTAGGACAGATGTATGAGCATATCAGCATTGGTGGTTCAGTGGTAGAATTCTCGCCTGCCACGCGGGAGACCCGGGTCCGATTCCCGGCCAATGCAAATCCTGTTTTGTGTTGCTACTCTTCCAGCTCTGGGTAACAGCCTTGCAGCAATTACACCCCACTAGGACAGTAGTATGAGCATATCAGCATTGGTGGTTAGTGGTAGAATTCTCGCCTCCCACGCGGGATACCTGGTTCCGATTCCCGGCCAATGCAATTTCTCTTTTGTGTTGCTACTCTTCCAGCTCTGGGTAACAGCCTTGCAGCAATCACACCCCACTAGGACAGATTTATGAACATATCAGCATTGGTGGTTCAGTGGTAGAATTCTCGCCTGCCACACGGGAGACCCGGGTCCGATTCCCAGACAATGCAAATCCTGTTTTGTGTTGCTACTCTTCCAGCTCTGGGTAACAGCCTTGCAGCAATTACACCCTACTAGGACAGTAGCATGAGCATATCAGCATTGGTGGTTCAGTGGTAGAATTCTTGCCTCCCATGTGGGAGACCTAGGTCCGATTCCCGGCCAATGCAATTTCTCTTTTGTGTTGCTACTCTTCCAGCTCTGGGTAACAGCCTTGCAGCAATCACACCCCACTAGGACAGATTTATGAGCATATCAGCATTGGTGGTTCAGTGGTAGAATTCTCGCCTGCCACGCGGGAGACCCGGGTCCGATTCCCGGCCAATGCAAATCCTGTTTTGTGTTGCTACTCTTCCAGCTCTGGGTAACAGCCTTGCAGCAATCACACCCCACTAGAACAACTCTATGAGAATATCAGCATTGGTGGTTTAGTGGTAGAATTCTTGCCTGCCACGCAGGAGACCCAGGTGCGATTCCTGGCCAATGCAAATCCTGTTTTGTGTTGCTAATCTTCCAGCTCTGGGTAACAGCCTTGCAGCAATCACACCTCACTAGGACAGATGTATGAGCATATCAGCATTGGTGGTTCAGTAGTAGAATTCTTTCCAGCTATGAGGGAGACGTGGGTTCCATTCCCGGCTGATGCAATTGCTGTTTTGTGTGGCTTCTGTTACAACTCTGGTTGACGGCCTTTTAGCACTCACATAACACATAGGCAAAGAACAACATGGGTCAGCATTGGTGGTTCAGTGGTACACTTCTCTCCTCCCACGCTTGAGATCCGGGTCCGATTCCCAGCCAATGCAATTCCTGTTTTGTGTTGCTAATTTTCCAGCTCTGGGTAACAGCCTTGCAGCAATCACACCCCACTAGGACAGATGTATGAGCAAATCAGCATTGGTGGTTCAGTGGTAGAATTCTCGCCTGCCACGCGTCAGACCAGGGTCCGATTCCCAGCCAATGCAAATCCTGTTTTGTGTTGCTACTCTTCCAGCTCTGGGTAACAGCCTTGCAGCAATTACACCCCACTAGGACAGTAGTATGAGCATATCAGCATTGGTGGTTCAGTGGTAGAATTCTCGCCTCCCATGCGGGATACCTGGTTCCGATTCCCGGCCAATGCAATTTCTCTTTTGTGTTGCTACTCTTCCAGCTCTGGGTAACAGCCTTGCAGCAATCACACCCCACTAGGACAGATGTATGAGCAAATCAGCATTGGTGGTTCAGTGGTAGAATTCTCGCCTGCCACGCGTCAGACCAGGGTCCGATTCCCAGCCAATGCAAATCCTGTTTTGTGTTGCTACTCTTCCAGCTCTGGGTAACAGCCTTGCAGCAATCACACCCCACTAGGAAAGATGTATGAGCATATCAGCATTGGTGGTTCAGTGGTAGAATTCTTGCCTGCCACGCGGGAGACCCGGGTCCGATTCTCGGCCAATGCAAATCCTGTTTTCTGTTGCTACTCTTCCAGCTCTGGGTAACGCCTTGAAGCAATTACACCCCACTAGGACAGTAGTATGAGCATATCAGCATTGGTGGTTCAGTGGTAGAATTCTCGCCTCCCATGCGGGAGACCTGGGTCCGATTTCCGGCCAATGCAATTTCTATTTTGTGTTGCTACTCTTCCAGCTCTGGGTAACAGCCTTGCAGCAATCACACCCCACTAGGACAGCAACATGCACAAATCAGCATTGGTGGTTCAGTGGTAGAATTCTCACCTCCCATGCTCGAGACCTGGGTCCGATTTCTGCCCAATGCAATTTCTATTTTGTGTTGCTACTCTTCCAGCTCTGGGTAACAGCCTTGCAGCAATCACACCCCACTAGGACAGCAACATGCACACATCAGCATTGGTGGTTCAGTGGTAGAATTCTCGCCTCCCACGCGGGAGACCCGGGTCCGATTCCTGCCCAATGCAATTCCTGTTATGAGTAGCTACTCTTCCAGCTCTGGGTAACAGCCTTGCAGCAATTACACCCCACTAGGACAGTAGTATGAGCATATCAGCATTGGTGGTTCAGTGGTAGAATTCTCGCCTCCCATTCGGGATACCTGGTTCCGATTCCCGGCCAATGCAATTTCTCTTTTGTGTTGCTACTCTTCCAGCTCTGGGTAACAGCCTTGCAGCAATCACACCCCACTAGGACAGATGTATGAGCAAATCAGCATTGGTGGTTCAGTGGTAGAATTCTCGCCTGCCACGCGTCAGACCAGGGTCCGATTCCCAGCCAATGCAAATCCTGTTTTGTGTTGCTACTCTTCCAGCTCTGGGTAACAGCCTTGCAGCAATCACACCCCACTAGGAAAGATGTATGAGCATATCAGCATTGGTGGTTCAGTGGTAGAATTCTTGCCTGCCACGCGGGAGACCCGGGTCCGATTCCCGGCCAATGCAAATCCTGTTTTCTGTTGCTACTCTTCCAGCTCTGGGTAACAGCCTTGAAGCAATTACACCCCACTAGGACAGTAGTATGAGCATATCAGCATTGGTGGTTCAGTGGTACAATTCTCGCCTCCCATGCGGGAGACCTGGGTCCGATTTCCGGCCAATGCAATTTCTATTTTGTGTTGCTACTCTTCCAGCTCTGGGTAACAGCCTTGCAGCAATCACACCCCACTAGGACAGCAACATGCACAAATCAGCATTGGTGGTTCAGTGGTAGAATTCTCACCTCCCATGCTCGAGACCTGGGTCCGATTTCCGCCCAATGCAATTTCTATTTTGTGTTGCTACTCTTCCAGCTCTGGGTAACAGCCTTGCAGCAATCACACCCCACTAGGACAGCAACATGCACACATCAGCATTGGTGGTTCAGTGGTAGAATTCTCGCCTCCCACGCGGGAGACCCGGGTCCGATTCCTGCCCAATGCAATTCCTGTTATGAGTAGCTACTCTTCCAGCTCTGGGTAACAGCCTTGCAGCAATCACACCCCACTAGGACAAGTCTATGAGCATATCAGCATTGGTGGTTTAGTGGTAGAATTCTCGCCTGCCTCGCAGGACACCCAGGTGCGATTCCCGGCCAATGCAAATCCTGTTTTGTGTTGCTACTCTTCCAGCTCTGGGTAACAGCCTTGCAGCAATCACAACCCACTAGGACAGTATTATGAGCATATCAGCGTTGGTGGTTCAGTGGTAAAATTTCCATTTGTGATGCGGGAGATCCGTGTCCGTTTTCCGGCCAATGCAATTCCTGTTTTGTGTGCTATCTCCAGCTCTGGGTAACAGCCTTGCAGCAATTACACCCTACTAGGACAGTAGCATGAGCATATCAGCATTGGTGGTTCAGTGGTAGAATTCTTGCCTCCCATGTGGGAGACCTAGGTCCGATTCCCGGCCAATGCAATTTCTCTTTTGTGTTGCTACTCTTCCAGCTCTGGGTAACAGCCTTGCAGCAATCACACCCCACTAGGACAGATTTATGAGCATATCAGCATTGGTGGTTCAGTGGTAGAATTCTCGCCTGCCACGCGGGAGACCCGGGTCCGATTCCCGGCCAATGCGAATCCTGTTTTGTGTTGCTACTCTTCCAGCTCTGGGTAACAGCCTTGCAGCAATCACACCCCACTAGAACAACTCTATGAGAATATCAGCATTGGTGGTTTAGTGGTAGAATTCTTGCCTGCCACGCAGGAGACCCAGGTGCGATTCCTGGCCAATTTGAATCCTGTTTTGTGTTGCTAATCTTCCAGCTCTGGGTAACAGCCTTGCAGCAATCACACCTCACTAGGACAGATGTATGAGCATATCAGCATTGGTGGTTCAGTAGTAGAATTCTTTCCAGCTATGAGGGAGACGTGGGTTCCATTCCCGGCTGATGCAATTGCTGTTTTGTGTGGCTTCTGTTACAACTCTGGTTGACGGCCTTTTAGCACTCACATAACACATAGGCAAAGAACAACATGGGTCAGCATTGGTGGTTCAGTGGTACACTTCTCTCCTCCCACGCTTGAGATCCGGGTCCGATTCCCAGCCAATGCAATTCCTGTTTTGTGTTGCTAATTTTCCAGCTCTGGGTAACAGCCTTGCAGCAATCACACCCCACTAGGACAGATGTATGAGCAAATCAGCATTGGTGGTTCAGTGGTAGAATTCTCGCCTGCCACGCGTCAGACCAGGGTCCGATTCCCAGCCAATGCAAATCCTGTTTTGTGTTGCTACTCTTCCAGCTCTGGGTAACAGCCTTGCAGCAATCACACCCCACTAGGACAGATGTATGAGCATATCAGCATTGGTGGTTCAGTGGTAGAATTCTCGCCTGCCACGCGGGAGACCCGGGTCCGATTCCCGGCCAATGCAAATCCTGTTTTGTGTTGCTACTCTTCCAGCTCTGGGTAACAGCCTTGCAGCAATTACACCCCACTAGGACAGTAGTATGAGCATATCAGCATTGGTGGTTCAGTGGTAGAATTCTCGCCTCCCATGCGGGATACCTGGGTCCGATTCCCGGCCAATGCAATTTCTCTTTTGTGTTGCTACTCTTCCAGCTCTGGGTAACAGCCTTGCAGCAATCACACCCCACTAGGACAGATGTATGAGCAAATCAGCATTGGTGGTTCAGTGGTAGAATTCTCGCCTGCCACGCGTCAGACCAGGGTCCGATTCCCAGCCAATGCAAATCCTGTTTTGTGTTGCTACTCTTCCAGCTCTGGGTAACAGCCTTGCAGCAATCACACCCCACTAGGAAAGATGTATGAGCATATCAGCATTGGTGGTTCAGTGGTAGAATTCTCGCCTGCCACGCGGGAGACCCGGGTCCGATTCCCGGCCAATGCAAATCCTGTTTTCTGTTGCTACTCTTCCAGCTCTGGGTAACAGCCTTGCAGCAATTACACCCCACTAGGACAGTAGTATGAGCATATCGGCATTGGTGGTTCAGTGGTCGAATTCTCGCCTGCCACGCGGGAGACCCAGGTGCGATTCCCAGCCAATGCAAATCCTGTTTTGTGTTGCTACTCTTCCAGCTCTGGGTAACAGCCTTGCAGCAATAACAACCCACTAGGACAGCAGTATGAGCATATCAGCATTGGTGGTTAGTGTTAGAATTCTCGCCTCCCACGCGGGATACCTGGTTCCGATTCCCGGCCAATGCAATTTCTCTTTTGTGTTGCTACTCTTCCAGCTCTGGGTAACAGCCTTGCAGCAATCACACCCCACTAGGACAGATTTATGAACATATCAGCATTGGTGGTTCAGTGGTAGAATTCTCGCCTGCCACACGGGAGACCCGGGTCCGATTCCCAGACAATGCAAATCCTGTTTTGTGTTGCTACTCTTCCAGCTCTGGGTAACAGCCTTGCAGCAATTACACCCTACTAGGACAGTAGCATGAGCATATCAGCATTGGTGGTTCAGTGGTAGAATTCTTGCCTCCCATGTGGGAGACCTAGGTCCGATTCCCGGCCAATGCAATTTCTCTTTTGTGTTGCTACTCTTCCAGCTCTGGGTAACAGCCTTGCAGCAATCACACCCCACTAGGACAGATTT